CTCCCCAGCCAGCACTGCAGGGTGTCCTTCACCCAGGATCGTATTGCACGCTTTGGAAAGTACGATGTCTGGGTCTCAACCCCTCAGTGAGCCATGTGACCTGTTTGCCTCAGTTTCCCTACGGGCAAACGTGATTGGCATAACGGGATCAGTTTCAAAATCTGTTGCCGGGTGAATGCGTGGACACATGTAAAGGAGAGTGGGCTTGCGGGCCAAGTTCACGTTAGCTAAATCACCATCCAGGGGCGTGGGGGGGGGCTCTCAATGCTGCATAAAATGAAATTAACTAATACACCAGGACTTCGGAGGAAGATGCATGGAAGGCCCAATCCCAGTGCTTGGCATACTGCAAGTGCTCAATAGTGTCATTCTCAGCAGTCCCCAAGGGACTACGGTTTGCCGTCTCTGAGACCTCGTCCCTGGCTATACCTCCAGATGGCCCCAGCGCATTTGTTGAGGGCCTTCCTAACACCAGACGAGTATCTGCTAAAAATCACTTCCACGGTCTCCTCTACCTCCCCAACCTGGCTCCTGTGATCCTAGGTTTGACGGTGACACAGAACCCGTGGCCCTTGGACCCAGGCCCGCCTGCCTTCCAGTGTCTGATCTCAGCATTCGCCCTCTGCTGGGATTGTGTCAGCCCCGGTGTGTGCTTGTACCAAAGGGCATGACCTCCTGCTTGGGAACAGGAGACTGGGGTGGGGGGTGTGGACTGAACGCACGAAGTAATGAAATAACTATGAGTGCATAAAGCCTGGTCTTGCTGGCTGCTGAGTTGGATGGCTGCCTCAATGGGCTTCCCAGTATGGCCCTTCTAAACACTCTGACATAAACTGCCTGCCTGCCCCCAGACAAGCCCCGTCCTGTTTTATTGCTCCAAAGCTCTCATCACCCGCCTTACAGAAAATATATTTGCTTTTTAAAAAAATATTTCTTATGTATGAGTGTATGCATGTATGTCTACCAAATAAATGCATGCCTGGTGTCTGCAGAGGCCAGAAGAGGGTGGTGAATGCATG